AAAGGATATACAAGTTAAAATGTTAAAACAAAGTGATAAATTGTTTAAAGAATGTATTAACAGTATATCTCTGAAAAATGAAAAGAAACAAATAGAAATATATTCATCTCTAACTTGTGTATTGGTTCATGCATGCTTGCTACTTATGCTACAAGAAGCTGTGCAAATGGATGCTTCAACTGATAATGTCCAATGATGAATTTGGAAGAACAAGAACGAGGGACATAATGATGAAGAGGATATTTCAAAGAAAAAAAATTTTAATCCTTTCATCTATTTTGTTTTGTTTTTCTCGCGCTCCCGAGTGTCGCGAAATGCGACTTGTCTATTATAATTTTTTACCCTTTTGTCCCTTTTGTTAAAAATATTTTTATATTTTTTATTTCTATTTTTATCATGCGTAATCAAATACGCCTCTTCTTCCAAATTCTTTTCCCATTATTCATTGCACTTTGTAAATTTTTGTTATTTTTATGTAAAATCCCTCCCACTTTTTTCCCTATAAGAACTTTAGGATTTAGGGAAATAATCAGAGTTTTTCTAGATTCTCTCAGATTAAGAGTTATCTTTGTGTAAAGATTCTCTCGAGCTTTTCTAATTGTAATAGATTTTGTTGAATAAAAGTTGTTTAACTTTTAGACTTTTGTTTTGTTTAAAATAAAGAGTTGAACTTAGAACTTAAAGAGTTTGATTTAAGTCTTCTAAGTTTAGAGTTCTTTGACTGAGAATTCATTGTGTTTCAAGTTGAATTAAATTTGAGTTTTCTAGAGATTTCTAGAATTTAGTTGATAAAGTTTAGATTGTGTAAAAAGATTTGAATAAAGTATATTGTTTGTAAAACTCTTTAAATAGAAGGAAAGTTAAGTTTTAACTTCCTGATTCTTTTAAAATATTGTGTAATATTTTAAATGTTGAAATAAATTTGATTTTTAAAGAAATTGATTTTGAATTGAAAAGAAAAGAGTAAAAAGATTAAAAATAGAAAAAATTGTTTATTCATTGGAATAAACAAAAGAAAACTTAAATAAATAAATTTAAAGAAAATATTAAAATTTATTTATTTTTTAGCAAAAACATTTAATTTTATTTGTTTTTGCGACAATTATAAGTAATAATGAATGTATTTGTCTCAGTGTCCGAAAAGTCCTTCTGCTGGCCGGAAACGAATCAGATATAAGGATAATTATCAGGATTCGCCAACCATAATTAATATTGGTCAAAAAAAATAAGGAACTAATCCGTCTGATTAATAGAGTTGTGAATTTTATGCATTAAAAATGGAAAATATGCACTATAATATGCACATAAAAATACCAAAATATGCACGAAAATATGCAAGAAAACCAAAATATACATGCAAATATGCAAGAAAAATACAAATTATACCTAGAAATTTCTCATTTTTTAGTCAAAAACATTCAAAAACCTATTTAATAAAGATTACTCCCATTTTAAATGTATAGTCTGAGTATTTTTACGTTGTTGGACATTTTAAGATGTGACGTTTTGGCGGTCTGACATTTTGGGGTGGTACATTTTTGGGTTGAGACATTATGGGTCCTGGACATTTTTTTACAAAATTTGTAATTTTTACAAATTTTTCCTAAATTTTTACTAAATTTTCACTTTTTGGCAGGATTTTGTGCAATTTTCGCAATATTTTCCCTAAAAACCTCAAAATATGCAGTAAAATATGCATTATGCAACAAAGTCCGGAATATGCAAAAATATGCATTATATGCAAATAGAAACCCCCTCTAAAGTTTTCAAAACATGCGGAAACAGTGTTTTTTGTGCATTATACATCAAGACAAGTTTGCAAAAAAATATGCATTTGCATAAAAATCACAACTCTACTGATTAATAATGACTCAGAATTCTCCGAGCACATTCATATTTAGATTTCATGTGATTTGAATTGGAAATCGGATTGAGACAAAATCTATGTTATTCTGAGAAACATACATACTGTAATTTTATTTTAGTGATAATTAAATAAATACTTAACTCGCGCAATATATTTTGTTCATTCGGATTGAGTGTTTTAAAATTTATTCCTTCAAATTTATTTTTTAATTCTCTTTCATGCCATTTTTCATAATAACCAACAATAAAATCTCGATCAATTAATGCCTTGAAATTTGTATATTCACTTAATTCATAAATTGTTTTGATTATGTTTGATGCTTCGTCCAATGTTAAAACTTAAATATTTAAATATTTCCACCGATACCTTAAATCCCTGTCTATTACGCAAAAAATTTTATGAGAACAATCTTACGCGAGATTTTCTGGACATTTACCGTTAAAACTTAATATGTTTATAAATCTAAATATTATTTTTCTATCGTTCATAAAATTATACCTACCGCCCTAGAATCTAACCTGTAACATTACCTAATCTTTTATGCGAAATTTTGTTAAGATTATCGAAGGATTTATATTAATCAAAGTTAGCCAACCCAGTATTATTTAAAGTTAATACTAGAGTTGTACCCCGACCCGATATCCCATGAAACCAAAGTTTATCCCTACAAATCCTCTTAATTCCTCCAAATCCCCTTATATCCTCAGATCTACAACTTAATGCATTGAAATCCCATTTAATCCCTAAAACCCCCCTTATATCATCTCTAATTCCTCGATCTCCCCCTTAATTTTTGAATAAAATACCTGGTTTTTTATTGACAGATATATCGGTTATTTTATGTCGTTTCGTAGATGGCTCAATGTAATTATGATCTCCTTGCATGCCTTCAACATAATCATATAAATATAAAAATATCAATTTTAATATAACAAAATACATTTTTAATATGTTTTACTGGCTTATATCTTCATTTTATTTGTTTACTATTTTAATATTAATTAATTAGCGGATAAAAGTTGGAAATGTTAAAAAAAATTTCGCGTATAAAATTGTGTTTTTAAAATTGTTTATATTTTTTAAATAAGGGATTGTGGCTTATTGGCTTTTTAAATTTCTAAAAATTTTAGTTTGTGGAGCAAAAAACTGGCTCCTTTAGCATTATAAATTTTCAAAATTTCGAAAAAAAAGAAGTGAAGAAATAATGTGAAATGAGAATTAAAGATCGGATAAACGGCAAAATCAAATATTTGATCAAATAATTTGAAAATATTTGATATTTGGAAAAATTAGATCAAAAAAGTCAAATATTTGATCAACTAAAATTTGAACAAATATTTGATTTTATTTGACCAAATATTTGTTTGGTCCGATTTCTAGTAAGAAGTGGCACTGAAAAAGTGAAATGGCACGACATAAATTTAAAAATCTGTTCTTATTTTCAAATTAATATAAAAAATATTTTAAAGTTAAAAAAATTAGACAATGTACATACATATATTTTTATTTATTTTTAAAATTAAGGGGCTGATAAATTTAGAAAAATGACAAAGTGCATGCTTTTGAATGGAGGATAACGCTCTTTATTAATAATAAAATAAACAAACTAATATTAGATTTCTTAATTATTAAGAAAAAGAATCGACTAGGCGATTTCAAAATGGTTTTCAAAATATTTACAAGGATTTGTTTATGATTAAAAAATATGAAATTATTGTCTTATGCAATGAGGGGCAGGTTCGGCGTCAATTTTGTTTTCATGCTAGAACGCCTCAGCATAAACAAAAATCTTTAACATTTAAACAATTTTATGGTATCAAATAATAGCAAGACCGTTTTGAGACCCCGTATCTATTAGAAAGGCCAAAACAATAAAGCTTCCCTATGAGAGAGAATCGGAAAATAAAGCGTCGCGCTCAAGTTGAACTGCCGTTTCTAGTAAACCAGCCAAATATAATGATTTACTTTAAATATATCTATTGTATAATATTTAGATTTTTGTTTACTTAATTAAGGTTAGGGATTCCGGGAACTCTATTGATATCCGAATCAGATATCTGGACAACGGCGATAATTCGAAGATTTAATTAGTCATTTTGATTAAAAACTCATTTAAACTTCTTTATGTTTTTATAAATTTCATAATGTTTCAATTTTCATAAACTTTTAAAAAGGTTATGCATAAACAAATTGAGAAACTAAATAATCTGCCTTTCCCGAATATAAAGCTGAATTACATAAAATAAAGCTTTAAAAGTGAATTTCTATATTATATTTATTTAAATTAAATTTAAAATAAATAATTTTATTAACGTTAATTAGCCTCGTCGACAAAGCTAAATTTAAATCAATATAACAGGCAATAAATAAATTTAAATGCGTGGACAACTCATGAGTGATATTGACTGAAAAAAAAATTAAATTCAATAATTAATATATATTTTTAAATTAAAATAGAAATTGTAAAAGTTTTACATTAGAAATTATTAAGATTCTTACTGCCATGAGGATTTTCCAATCCCATTTTCAAACTCACAATTTACCCCTTACATTACTATCAATATCCTAATAGTTTGAGAGTTAAACACTTAATTAATTAAATTATTATTTAATTAAAAGTAAATTTAATTAAAACCCTGTTTTTGTTAATGGATCATTTGTGAGGGGATAGTCCATAAATGGCAGTTTCTTGCTTTGTGATGAAGTTTTTGCGATATTTTGTTTTTTTTTGAAATATAAAACATAAAAACAAAATTTGACTAACATTCGACAGAAATATAAAAGTTACAGACATTTAATCCAATATATTTAAAATATTCATGCCTTAATTTTTTATTAATTTATTTAAGTCTAGAAATAGAAATAAAGTTATTTTATTTTAAGGTTATTTGTTTTTAAGTTTTAGGTAAGTCTGCCCATTTTTAGTTATTTAGTAAGCAAGAAAGAGGAAATAAAATTGGAAATTTATTTAAATTAATTAAAAATATTTACAATAAAGTTAATAATGTGATTCATAGTTTATATAACTATTAAATATTTTAAGCGTTTAGTTCCAATATTTGAGTTTTTTTATTTTATATGCAGTGTTAAATATAGAATTAGGAAATATTTAAAAATCATTTATTCAAGTAAAATGAATTTTTATTCGTTGATATTAATTCAATTAACAATAATTTACGTATTAAATTGTTTAACAGAGATGGAAGGGAAGACAAGCATCTTACCAACGAAAAATACAACAACAAAAACAAATATCACCAAAACTATAAAAAAGTTTAGACCTCAAAAACGTACAAAAATTCTGTTATTTAATACAACAAACAAGCCAAAAGAAAGTTTCGAAACTTCAAATAAAACCTTTATTAACAAACAAGCATTTAATAATATTACAAAAAATACAATTCAACCTCGAATAAAAAATAAAACAATTATTGCTAATAATAAAATTAGTAATGGTACCAAAAATATGAATTTAAATAAAA